CTAATTAATATCTTTTAACATATTCCAAGAATTTTAGTCAAATACAGTAATATAATTTATAAAATAAATTATTCATAGGTTCGTAAATTAAATGTGTCAATAAATTAAAAGCATATTAATATAACTGATATATGTGCATATGTAAACTAGTATTTTTAAAATACAGTAATGATGGAAACATTAATTTAAGGAAATACAAAATGACTTAATATATAATAAATAAATTTATATTAATGGACATACTGAAAATTTTTATAGTTAAATATAAACAAAATCTTAGAAATATATATGAAATTAAAAAAATTTCAAAATATATTTCGATAAAAAGTGGATATATTATCATACTTTTAAATTTATATGATGTAAATTAAGAATCTAAAAAATATGCATAAAAAATTAACGGAATTCTTAATTTTATAATCAGTATTTTTATTTATACAGAAGACATATTAAACGATATTAATGAACTCATGTATGCAATAAACATACTTATGCTATTTACATTGTATAAATACCATTTTTAATTATATATATTTATTTATGCACCATCTTATTTTTATAAAATAAAAGCATTTATTTTTAAAATTATCAATTGAGCGCTGTTTTACTTCCTTGAGTCTCTTGGTGTTAATTAGGAAGAATGAAATGGAATTATTACATGTTTATGGAGAATATTATATTATAGCTAAAACCTTCAACAGTATTTCTATATAAAAGTTAAAAAAGGTGCATTTTCTCTTATCTTTTCTAAGTACATTAAAGGACATCATCTATGGAAATATATGAATGTGTGATAACTGCAGAGTATTCATATTTTAATACAAAAATATAACAATTGTTTCATTGTATTTTGTAATATGATGACCCATTTAAAAAAATCAATTATATCTTTTGGAATATAGTTTAATTTTATTCCATCTATTTAAAAAATTGTAAAATATTATATTATTAATTTAAAGCTTATTTGAATATTCCTCACATAATTGACTTATGAAAAAAAAATATATTTCCTATTTTTTCAATAAATGTACAAGTTTGCTATTGCATTATAAAAAATATTATAATATGTAATAATAAAAATATAAATGTATATGAACTTTCTTGTAATTACAATTATGACGTGTAACGTAAGGTACTTTAAAACCCCAAATGTGAATGAAATAGTTTAATATGATTAAATGGAATAGCAATATATATATTATAAATTTATTGTTGTCTATAATAGCATAAAAAAAAAAAAAAAAATACTTCTACTATGAATATTTTAATAAAGAAAAAATATATATTTTGTGTTACATATATACAATTTTATTATTATAATGCTATACACAAATAAAAATGTTAGCACAAAAATTATTAAAAAGTGTAGATTAAAACAAATAATAGATCAATTAAACCTATAAATACTATATAGTAATTACTATTAGGGTATGATAAAATATGATAATACTTTTATTGCATTATGAATAATGTACCCTAAATATTGTTGCATATATACTATATAACTAAAATTATATTATCTGCAAAAGCTATGTATTTTTAGTGCGAAAATATATTTACAAAATATGAGAAAAATATAATTAATACTAATATATTATAATAATGTAAAAAACACTTAAAATATTTATATATTTTACTTTTATTCATTCAATTGAAATTAATAATATATATATACAATGTTGGTTCTTTCAACTGTAGGTATATCTTTTTACTCAGGAATTTAAAAAAAAAAAAAAAAAATGTATATGAATTTGAAGTGATTAATTTATTATACAAAAATTTATAATACTGTATATATAATATTTACTAGAGCACTCGTAAGTATTATATAATATAAATTATAATTAGCATTCTTTAATTAATGGATATGTATTTGAAGCATTAAATTTGATAATTGTTTTAATATTATAAGTATCTATTAAAATACAAAAATTTTAATTCCATTTAATTTAAATATATGTATGTATAATCCGTTATATATTTAGATATGATAAATTTGTATTTGTTATACATATCTTTTGTATAACATTGGAATAAATTTAATAAAAATATCTCTATCGATTTTATTATATGAAATCATATTAAAAGATATTTTACATATTAATATATTTTAGATATGTACTATAATGATATTTCATATTTTATTGAAAAATTACTTCCCCATAATTACAATAAATCGGAGTCTGCATAAAAACATTTATTAAAGACATTCTGATTCATATGATAGTTCTTATACATATGGTTAATATATATAGTAATATAAATATAATTTGGATATAGACTTCATAAATAATGGAAATAATATATATATATGTCCTAAAAAAAATAAAAGAAATCATATTTACACAATATATCATTCATTTAAAAATGATACATTCACCTAAATTAAATCATTATTTTATATCTTAAAATATAACTATGCATATATTATATACATATTTTCAACTTAACACTTTTATATAGATTCTGAAGAATTACTTTTTTATTTTTATATATATTATATGTTCTAGGTATTTTTTAATTCGTAGTAACGTATGAAATCAATACGTCATACTTTGAAAGGAAGAAAAATATTTTCTCCATCTAATTTATAACTTTAGACTCTTAAGTACATAGAAAAGATATAAAAAAATAAGTAATAAAATATGGATCTTTTTCAAGAATATTGCAAAGCAGATTTATTAAAGGTGTATACAATTTATATATATTGTTACCTATTATAAAATATATATAATGTTATATTCAACATTTGTAATGATAAAATATATATTATAAAATAATTATTTAATCATAATTAAAAGACATACATATATAATATAAAAAATGAAGTACAATGCGAAATATCATTATGGAAAATAAAATTATATGTTTTATATCTCTTCATGTTAAGTTAAATTTCTATAATAATATTAATGAATATATATCTATTAATTCTTATATTATATACTTAAAGTACAATTCGGTTATCTATTTCTGTAAATAATATAACGAATGTATATGAATTGTCTCAACGTCTCATGCTTTTTATATTTCATGATTTTGTTATTATTATAATGATAAGTATGTAAGAATAATATATTTACTTATATAATATATTTGTTTATATAATAAAAATGTATTTTAATTTTTTATTAAAAATGTACTCTATCTATTTAATAATAAAATTAAATACTATAAAATAAAAAAACATACATAATATATTATATATGTTCTTATATTGTAAATTATAATATATATATAACATGTATATTAAAAAAAAATATATAATAATAGAAGCTTTTACACTTAAATATCAGCATTATACAAATTAATCATACAAAGAATACATAATATTTTTTAAATTTATATAATAAAAAAATCCTTAATTATAATATATTAAATGTTTATGATATCTTATAATTTATACATAAGTAAAGTATTAGTTTAAATATATTATTATAAAGTATAAATTTAACATATTTTATTGTTCTTTGGTATAAATATTATCCCTTATAAAATTACTTTATATTCATTGAAATTCTAGAAAAATTTCAATCAACTTGTGAAATATAAACTACAAAAATATTATTCTGTATATTGCATCTCCGATTATGCAGATAATTTTTCTTATTTTTAAACTTTTTTATTTATAATATGGAATATATATATATATATATTAAGTACACTGTTATTTAAAAATCGTTATATCTTATTAATATGATTATGCAAATTTAGTTCAAATTTATATAATATCTTAAAAAGAGGAAAACCTCATATGGATTAAGTAATATAATGTCGTTTATAATTGAACTATCAACAACAAACAATTGTATAAATTCATATGATGATATCATTAATACTATATGATATTTGCTGTTGTATTTTTATTATAATATTTTATATAGTAATGTTACTTTTGTTTAAACCATTAAAAAAATAATAAAATGTATAATACATGAAATAGTTCTTGATTTGTTTTACATTGGGTGTTTATGAAAATTATTTTGTCTTACATTTTCATAAATATACATTTATAATTAAATGTATATATGATTTATCTATATTATATATATAGAAATGTATATATATGTTATAATAATAGAATAAATTACGAATTTTATCTCAATTAATTTTTATATAAGTTTAAATCATAAATACATGTTTTATAGTGTATTAATATATGGTGCTATATCTAATATTATTATGGTCCCTTCTGTCTTATATATGAGATTAATGAAATAACTACTAAATGAATAAGACAACGTATAAACTTTAAAATATGAAGTACTTATATCAATTAATAGAATTATAAGGGTAATATTTAGTTTTTTTACGCATAAGTTAAAATATCCATTATGAGTGTAAATAATAATATGTCTTTTATTTATCATTTAATTTGTAAAAAAATATTACTTTCTTGTTTTATATATATAAATATATAATTCATTCATTGTATGTATATTAAACTACTAGAAATGTGCTCTTAATTATGAGGAAAAAAGTAATGTTGCAAAAATTATACCATATATTTATATATTTAATTCATAAAAATGAATATTTATTAAAAATATGCATTTATTTCCAATATATAGATGTATGAAAAAGATATACACATATATATTGTTAAAAGAAATATTGATTTTAGTAATATATATATTTCATATTGTACTTTATTAAGTAAATAATTTGTTATATTATTATTATATATATATTAATTATAAAAATGTTATTCCTAACATTTTATATTTCTATATAATTTCAGAATATATATTTTCTCTTTATATTATATTATAATGTAATAATTTTTTCCCATATCTATGACGTATGATAAAAACATATGTTTTATTATGTAGAATAAATAAGATAAAAATATAAATTTAAAAAACACTTTAAAATTTATTTATTGTATATTAAAGTATAATTCACATAAATATAGTATATGGTAGTATATTTTTGCATACAAGAATTTATAATTACAAATATATGAACTATATTTTGTATAATTTACATATAATAGTATAATGTTTGACGATAAAATTAAAATAAAAGACGTATGACTTAGTATTCAAATAAATTACAATTTGCTCTAGCTAATATGTAAAGATATTCATGTATATAAACATAGGAAAAAGTACATGTTTATAAATATTACTATAATCATTTAAATATATAATGTTTTTTTTTATAGTTTGACTTTAAGGATCAATTTCCCACCTGTATGAATGAATATAATAAGCATGCAAAAAATGAATCAATTTTTGATGAATATTAACTTACTGAGGTGTGCAAAATTATTCGAAATCATTTAATTTGTGGCAGTAGAGATAGATACTCCATAGAAGACTGTAAAAAGCTTATTCGCTACTTAAAGCATATATATGGTATAATGGACGCTATTAATAAACCAAAGTGTAATTATTTAAACTATATGTTAAAACTTGTACTAGTCGATAGCAATTGCATTAACCAGAACTCTTAAGATTTTTATGATAAAATTGCCATAGAAGGCAAAAATAATGGAATTATGGATTTTGTTAATACATGTAAAAATGAGATTAAGAATCTTGATGATGAATTATATACCGTATTAAAGGATCTTAATGGATTATATCAATTATTAGAAGGCGAGAAAAGGTGTTCTCCTAATGGAGCTTGTAACAGTATGTACAAGGAACTGCCAATTAAATATGAAGGTGTAGATAAGCAGAGTGTTCACACATTCCTAGAAGAATTTAAAAATGAAAATATGAAATATATCATAGAAGAACATCAAAAACAACATGCATTTTTGTTTAATCCACGTTTTACTGTTTTAATATAATTATTATAACTTTTACAGTATCGATGATAACATTCTACATGCATAAGGTTAAATATAAAATTAAATAATTTATTATATAATATCCTTAAAACTTACATTACGGGTAATTATTTAAAAATTACATAAAATAAATAGTATATATCAAATTTTTTGTGCATTATCAGTTTAGTCCCTATGCTTCATTTTTACAACGAACAGTAAGAAAGTTAAGTTGAATATGTAATAAAAAAAATAAAGATTGTTTCAATATAATGGATTCATCTGAATTTACACACAATGATTTATTTCATAATAAGTACGAAACAGGATGCAACTCCATAGGCCACAAATATAGAACATATAATTGCTACTAAAAAATTCAACATAGTTTCATTTAGGGAAAAAAATTAAATGAATAATTATTTTACATAAACAAATAGAAAAAGAAAAATAAATGGAATAAATATTTAAATATAATGATAGTATCATAGAAAAATTATAATTATTTTATAATACGTGATAATATGTGAAGTATAAATATTTATATATTTCGCAATAATGCACAAAAATGTTCGTAGTCAAAATGTTTTAAAACCATATAATAATTTATATACATAAATGGCAATTGTTATTAATTATGAATTCTAATATAATAATAGAGATGATAAAATTTTAAAGATGATCTGTGTTCATAGGATATATTTATATAATTCAATATTTTTTTTCTACAACTAATTAAAAAAAAAAAAATATAATTATATACTATACAAAAAAATAATATTATAAAATAAAAATATAAAAGTGTTAAAGCATGCTGTGTATGTATAAAAGAAATATTTTAATGATAAATTTAAGAAGAATTATTATTATCAACGGCAGATTTAAATTATTAATATTATATACCTATAATATATAAATAAAGTTATTATAATATAA